TACTGTGGCAATCATTTCAAAATACGTGTAAATATTCTTTGTTCAGAGGCATTCCTCTTATCCTCTCCATTTTTTGTTGGTTTGAAATTTCCTGTCATAAAACCTAAAAGAAAAAAATGGAATGATATGAAATCAGTTTGTCTGTATCTGTTTATTATGACTCTGGCTCCATTTCCAAAAGTGTTAAGTGAGGGAGTTAGATGCTTCCACAGTGAGTGCTGACCATGTGCCAGGCGCCGGTCTAAGAACTTGCTTAGCTTTTAGACGCTGAATCTCGAAACCACCCTCTGAGCAAGGGACTGTGCTGTGCCCTCTCCAAGGTCTAGACTAGTCACACACAGGGCAGCAAGGGGAGGCTCTGGACGGCAGGCCAGGGTTCCAGCTCTGGAGCCTGGTGCTAAAGTTCCATGGAGGCCACTCCTTGACATGAAGCATTAGCTCTCTGGCCACCTCGTCTTCGTGGGGGGCCTTTCTGGGTCCACAGCCCTCCCGCGCAGGCTGCTAGGCAGAAGTCCCCTAAGGGTGGGGACTGTGGGAACCTGCCCAAGGGACCCCACCTTGAGCGTTGAGGTGTGTGAGAAGGGTGCTCCCGAGAGCTGCTGACCCATGACTTGGGTAAGGGTGGGGCCGGGACTTGAAGTGGGGGCAGAGTGGAGCAAGATCTGCTGAACATTTCCTCCTTCCCAGACTGTAGTAGAGGCCTTTCATGAAGGCCTCCCTTCAGGGATTTTTTCTCCTTTTCTCAGATTTTGCTGCTCATGAGTTTGCCTCCCTAGCAGGCTGTGAACTCCCTGAGACAAGTAAGACCTTGTTTTATTCCTCTTCCTATCCTCAGCGCTGCATGTGACCATGTGCAGGCCACACGCAGCAAGTGGAAGACCTGAGACATGGTGGACAAAGCCAACTGAAAGTTTATTTTAGAAAAAAACACGAAAGGGCCTCCCCGGTGGCACAGCGGGTTGAGCGCTGCGCTGTGAAGCTGTCCGCAGCCTCTGCAGCGGTTCGATCCCCGGCCGGCCGGGGAGATTCCCACATGGCGCAGCAGACCTCTCCTGTCTCGCCCGCTGCTCCCCTCAGCAGTGTATTTCGGTCCATCTGCCTGTTCTGTTCCCCACGCTGTCTCTGGTGAATCCTCACCCTCCCGCAACTCTGGACTGCACCCCAGCTCTTGTATTAAAAAAAAAAAAGAAAAAAGAATTAAAAAAAAAAAGAAAAAAACACGAGAACTGAGCTTTAGTTGGGAGCATGGGTAAGAGGGTACCCCGGGCAGTGGAGACCTGTGGAGCCCTCCCCAGTGTGTGTGAGCAGTGAGGAGCTCGCAGGCTGAGGGCAGGACCCAAAGGATCTGCTCCTTTGAAGGGGACAGAGAGGCAGGCGGCTGGTACAGTGACCTCAGGGCCCTCCCCTGCCCACCCCCGTTGTCTCACAGCTGCCGAGAGGTTAGGTATGATTTGCCTCTCTGCTCCCTGGAGATCATCATGTAACGGTTGTAAGATTTAAAACCTCCAAATATTCCAAATGCTGTAGCCACCCCGGCTCAGCAAGCACAGGGCTCTGATGTCTGGATGCGATCCTGCCCCCAGCCCATTCGTTTATTTAGTGCATGTTTTCAAGCACTTACTCTACAGCAAGCGCTGTGCTTGGCACTGAGGAGATGAAGAGGAATAAAACAAGGTCTGACTTGCCTTGGGGGCTCACAGGCTGCTAGGGAGGCGGACACATGAGCAGAGAAACAGGAGGGTTTGAAGGAGAAAAATACCTGCTCCACACCTGTCTCTTCTCAGGAAATTTGTGGGGTGTAGCTACTCCTGGCGTGTCTCTCCCCACCTCCAGCCTGGTCCTGTGCCTCTTGTCAGAGTGTGTCCCAGTCTCTCTCCACCTAAGACTCCCCCATAAGACCTCCCTGTGGCGTTTCTTCAAGCGTGGGGAGTAACAAATGGTTTAGTCTAGATCATTGCAATTCACTAGACAGAACTACGTGAGACGAATGTGAATGATGCATGTAATTTAAATTGTTTTAATACCCACAGGAAAATAACAAAAAGGAAAAGCAGAATTAATTTTAATATTATACTGTATTTAACCCAGTGTACCCCAGATGTTATCACCCAACATGAATTCAATATAAAAAATTATGGATATTTCACACTCACTTTCCACACTGTCAAGGAAACCCGGTGCGTGTAACACAGTTAGAGTCATGTTGGTCTCGATTACCCACATAGTAAATGCTCAGCAGCCACTCGTGATAGTGGCTACCCTACCTGGTAGAACAGCTCTAGGTTACCAATTTTGGAATTTGTTCTGTTTTACTTAGTTTTAGAGCTGGAAACAGGTTCTGTCTCCTTGAGAGACTTGGCCAAGAAGGGGTTGCGGCCTCGTGGGCCTGCCCAGCATGCCAGCCTAGGTGCCAGGCAGGAAAATGGACTGAGGCTGGGCCAAGGGTGGCTCATGAGCCAATCAGACCGCTGTGGACTGGGGCCCAGGAGCTCCAGGGCTCAGGTGCCTGTGGGCTCGACCACCGGATATGGGTGTGTGTGTGTGTGTGTGTGTGTGTGTGTGCCCCGCCCGTCTCCCCTGCTGCTCCTACCACTCCTTCCTCTACTGCAGCTGCCAAAACACTTAACTAAAATACTTAAGCTACAAAACCATTACCATATTTTAGGTGGACACAGCCAGCTCAAACTTTATTTTGGAAAAACACTTGACAATTGACTTTTAGTTGGGGGTACGGGCAAGAGAGGGGTATCCCCGGCAGTAGACTTCCCAAGGCTGGGCCAACAGCTCTCCTGTCACTAAAGCTCCCTTCCCACAGCTCTGGACGGCGCTAGGGGTGAGGCTGGGAGGGCTGCAGTGGCTGGCCTGGGGCAGGGCATCGGATGACTCGGACACCAGCTTCTCATTGCGGGTCTCCAGCTTCGTCACGATGGCAGCTTGGCGGAGAGGCTCGGCTGAGGGAGCTGAAGGTGTCTCCAGTGCCTCTTAAAATCTGGTAAGAGGGTAGATCTCATGTTAAATGTTATCAACACAATAAAAACGTTTTTTAAAAAGAATTCAAAATTCCCTAGGGGCACAGACCCAGCTCAACTTGCCCCAACTCTACTATATTCCTGCTGCAGGGACACAGCCTTTCCCCTCATTTTCTTTTCTGGGCCCCCTTTGGCCCTGGCGGGGGAGGGGGCCCTTCATGTGACAGAGCCCCGGGCACGTCTATGGGCTGGGCGTGAGTGTGTGGGTGGAGGGACCGTTGGGCCTCTTGGCCATGGTCTTGTTTGGTAAACGAAGCCTTGACAGCCTCATGCTCTGGCTTCTCTCCAAAATACAGAGACCTGTCATGCCTGTGACCGGCAACAGGAAAGGTGGTTTCTTTGTTTTTTGTTTTTTTTGGAAAACTAGGCTGATCAGACGCCTGCAACAAGCCCAGGACCTCCCAGATCTGACTGTCACAAGTGCTGGTGACAAACTGCACAAGCCACAGATACCCCTGGAGTATTGACAAGGCTCTTGACACGAGAACAGCTTTCTACTCGGGAGGGAGGGAGGGACGCAGCGCATGGGATGTCATGGCGTCAGGTTTACTGTCATCTCTGCAGCCGCAAGCTCAGGGAAGGAGCTGCCATTAACCCCACCCAGCTGGGCAGGAAAGTGGCTGGGGCAGGGCTGCATGAAGGGGCTGAGAGCTGGGCTGGGGGGCCTGCCACGAGGGCATGAGCTCAGGCACCTGCCAGCCTGGGACGACCATGGCAAGTAACTGAGCCCACATCTCAGCTTCCTGTCCGTAAAATGAAGGGAACAGGCCCCACCTCTGCTGTCAGACCGAGTGGCAGTGGAGGACACACAGCCACAAAGTGAAGAGGCTTGGGGTGGAAACCAGGTCATGGCTATGACGGCACCCTCCAGGGATTTTCTGGGGTCTCCTCTGTCTTCCTTACCTCAGGACCCCCACTTGCTCAAACCAGAAAGCTAGCCTTCTCTCTCCTCTAGTACTGCCAGGTGGTCTCACCAGATGGAGACCATTTCCCCCTGAAACTCCTGAATCTGTGGGATTCCCTCTGTCCTGCTCTAGTTGAGGCCCCAGGCACCCTCTCCTCCCCCTTCCCTGGCAACTGGGGCGTCTAACGGTCTCTCCTCCCGAATCTTCTCTGTCCTGTGGCCAGAGGGACCTTTACACTTGCAGTCTGAGTGGGTCACCGCTCTCTTCACCTGCTCGCCCTATGATTTCCCAAAATCCTCCTCCTGCCCACAAGGCCCAGTGTGGTCTGTCTGCCTGTCTCTGAACTGTCTTTTTTCTTCCAGCCCCACTGACCCATTGACCTTCTTCTAGAATCTCGTCAGAGCTTAAAGCCCCAAACCTTCCCTTCTCTGAGCTTTGCAGATGGGGTTCCCTCTACTTACACTTGTCCCCTCGCCAACAACTCTCCCTTCAGGTCTCCCAGAGGCCTTCCCCGACCACCCTGCCTCCACCCCAATGTAAATGACTGCCTTGTTACGCTCCCCCCGGGGGCACTTTAGGTTTTTACTTAAGGGCACCACTTCAGTGTGTAATTATGTAGTCATTTCTAGCAGGGATTATCTCATCTGGCAGGGATTGGGTCCTTGCTCACCCCTGCACTCCCAGCTCACTGCAAGGCACACTGGCCATGCTGAACACAGAGTCGTAGGAAGGACAAGGGCCATCCCCCCCCAAGCCTGGGGGTGCCACACACCGTGCTGCTGGGTTGAACTGCACCAACTATGGGACTGGACTGGACACCTCCCACCTCCTGTGGGTGCAGCAGGGAGGCTAGGGAGCCCAGTGGGGTGATTTCTACTTGGAGACAGCATGGACCCCACCCTTCCTTTCCCAGGTGCCCACCAGCCTCTGACAGCAGGGCAGTGTTCAGCCAGTGATGGATGATAATGGCCTTCAGTGTTTCCAGCTGAGGTCACACAGGACTGGGCATGCTGACCTGGCATGTTGAGGACTCTTACCACCCTCTGGTCAGTCTGACCCTGCCTGGCTTTCCCTGTACCTGGATCTCTTTTCCTCACCACTTTCTCCTTGACCCAGAACCGTCCTTCTATTTTTTTCCTCTGGAAATGGTTTGTCCCCTGCCAGGAACACCCTGGAGACTGAATGCTTACCCAAAGAAATGAATTTTAATGATGGAATTAAAAGAGTGCAAGACTAGTGCTACAACATAGTACTTGAGACAATGCCGAGGGACAGTGTCCAAGGTGGGGGACAAAAGGAGGACACACAATTGCAAGACCACTCAGGCTCAGGGGCCAACAACAACAGGGCTTATTTAACAAACAGGAGATTAGGGAAGAGACAGGCTGGCTATCTTACCCCAGATCGTGTCCAGAAGACCCAAACAAAGGCTGCTTGTAGAAGACTGAAGGCTGGGCCAGACACACCAGACCAGGCAACAATGGACTCAACAGCACCAGGAGGCGGTGCTGGAGAACTAGACACTGTGGACAGCTCGTTGTGAACCGCTGGCATACAGTGAGCAGCTCTTTGAGACACCAGACTGAAGCCAATGGGCTTCTTCCAGGCATGTCAGAGGCAGGGCTGGAACAGGTGCAGCAGCTGAGTCTCTGCAAAGGTCTATGGCGTTTGGAGGCCTAGGAGTCTGTGGAGGCCTGGTGATTCTCACAGGTCATCTGCTTGCTGCTTCTCTCTTTGGACACCCTCTGCTGAATCCTTTTTCAAAGGTGGTCTGATGTCTCTCTCTTTAGTAGCAGCCACTGACTGACTCAACCTATCTCTTGCTCTGCCTTATCTCCTCTTTGTGGTCCCCCACCCTACAAGTCTGATTGTACCATTTTTAATGATAAATCTGAAGGGACCATTGAGGGCCAATCAGCTTGCTTTCCATTTTCAATCCGAACAATTAACTCAAGGTTGAATGGCAACTGGAGACCTCAAAACTGATTGGTCCATTTTTGACCCTGGCTCCAGGTATAAAAGAAAAAAGTCTGCCCCCTGCTCAGACTGACTTGCATTGAAGTGAGGGAAGGCTGGTGGGCCTCAAAGAACTGCCTCTGCAGCCAGCCTCCTTGGGGGTGCAGGGCGGGGGAATGCCTCCAGGCAGCTGGCTAAAGCCTATCCACCAGACAAATCTGCCTTGCCCAGAACCACAGGGCTCTGGTTACAGAATCTTGAACCGGGTACAATCTTGGTCAAGTGTAGAGGAGTGGGGGCAACCTCTCAAACCCTACCTTTTGACAGTTGTCTCCAGTGCCTATGAATATAATCGCTACCTTGCCTGGAGCAGCCTCCAGCCTTACCTTGGCCTAGACCATCTTCCTCTTGGAAATAAGCACAAAATTGGTGCTTCACATTTTCCTTCCTCCTTTATCTGTGTGCTGTTCTGGTCCCCTGAAGGGCCTTGCTACCTATTTTGGCCATCACTGTCTCTGCCTTTTTAAATGCTAGTTTTTCCCTTCTAGGTGTAGTTAACAAGTCAACTCTTCCTCCCCCAGCCCCAGTTTAAGGGCAGTGACTGAAATATTCTTGGGCTGATGGTCCCCAAGCTGGGGGCACATCCACTCTTCTCATGCTGGCTTGGCCCTCTAGGCATTTTGCTTCCAAGACTGCAAAATGAGTCGTGTTGCCTCTGTCCACAACTTCGGCCCCCTCACCTCTCTGGCAGCTGCCCCACACAGCGCTGGCTGGCAACCCGGGCAGAACCGTCACCGTGTGGGCCTGAAAGGAGGCTGTGGCCACACCCCAACCCCTGCTGCCTGGGGGCAACCCTGAAAACACTGACACATTGTCTTTGAATCTTTCCACTCTCCTGGGGGAAGGAAAGACTTCCTGCTGCCTCCCCACCGCAGTGCCTAGTCAGGCCTGCTCTTCCCTCCACCTCACGGATGTCCTCAAGTCCTCAGCGGGTTAGCCTCTCTCCACCCGCTAGTGACCAAGGAGTCCCAGACCCCGCCCCAATCCTGGTGTCCACACTGTCAACTCCATAAGGCCCCGATTTGGGCTCCAGGACAGGAAGGGAAGTGACCTTCTCTAGAATGCAGGGCAGGTTCCCCCTGAGCTGGTAAGGCCCTGCCCAGACCTCTCTCCTGGGCACCAGGAGCCTCTAGGTTACTGCCTGCAGAGGGTCTCCACCTGGCCACACTGGCTCCGTAAACTAAACTGGACCCACCTGAACATTTGGGCTCTTCTCTCCTCCTTAGCAGTGGCTAGTTTCTCCTAGGGACTCAGCCCCAAGCCTCCATCCCTTCCCGCTCGCCTTCTCCCTGTACCCGACGTCCAGACTCTCCCCAAGTCCTGGCAACCCTGTCCCAAGCCATCTGCCTGGCTCCATCTTTTCTTACCCCTGGTTCACTTCTTCTATTTTTACAATTTCAAACACAGATGGAAGGCTGGTCTATGCCTGTCTCCAAGCGCTTCACCAAAACCAACTCTCTTAGTTCTCACAACTTCACTTCACAGAGAAGGGAACGAGGCACAGAGATGTGGAACATCGTGCCCAGGCCCTGTGCCCAGGCAGCTGCTGCTGGGGAGTCTGGGCTCTGTGGCAAGAACTCGCACACGCTCCGAGCTCATGGCCGCCCCTGCGTCTCTCCTGCTTTCAACCCTCCCACGTGTTGCTCACAGACGGATCCTCCTTCCCTTCTTGTTGAAAAGCGCTCTGATGACAAGAATGACTACAGTGGTCTGGTGTGTCTGAAACAAGGCTCTGCACACACTGTGCCTCTGTTCAAAAAACCTGAAACTCCCCTCATCCCTCCCCACCCCACTACCCAGCCCTTGTATTAACAGAACAAGTCCCTTCTCTAGGATGTGACCTCAACAAACTCCTCGGCTCCCCCCACGGCCCCCTCACTGCTCCCCTCTCTCTAGCTATTTTTTTTAAAGATTTATTTATGCATACAAAAACTGGGGTACAGACCAGAGTTGCGGGGAGTGAGAAGATTCACCAGAGACAGAGTGGGGAGCAGAACAGGCAGATCCACTGAAATGCACTGCTGAGGGGAGCAGGGATGAGACAGGAGAGGTCTGCTGTGCCATGTGGGTAGCTCCCTGGCCAGCCCAGGCATTGAACTCATGCTGCAGTGGCTGGCGAAAGCTTGATAGTGCTGAGACTTAACCCCTGGGCCACCAGAGAGGCCCACTAGCTATTCTTTTTAATGTGACTTTCTGACTGTCGGCTCTAGGATTCACCTTAATCTTCCCAGATGTCTGCTGCAGACCAGCACAACCCTCCCCACAGTGTGAAATACATAGTATGTGACACACGATGTTAGCAGGTGTATGGAATGGACTTAGTTTTTGGTACATAAACAGCAAATAAAAAAGTTTGCTTCACCTGCTCTCAACCCCAGGCTGCACAGGGCTGAGCTGGGCTGGGCCTTTCCCGTCTGAGCCGCCACAGCATCACCCGGCGTGTCACAGAGAGACGGGCACAGCAGACACGGTGCACGAAGGAATGAACGAACAAACCGCGGAACCGAGGTAACTTCAGAGAGTGGGAATTATATATATGATGACTTACATGGAATCTCGTTCGGCTGATCATTTGCTGTTGAGACTCAAAAATCTGATTTCCCAGGAAGGGTGGCTTAGGTGGAAAAAAAAAAAAAAGAGAGTGGGAATTAATTTTATTTCATGAAACCTTTGTGGAGCCCTTAAGAATACTGGCTTACAGTGAGAGCTCGTTTTCACTGGGCACTGTGTGAACCACTTTTCATTTATTATCATTTAATCCTCTCAGCAATCCTGCCGTAGGAGGCCAGAGGGCTGTAGATATCTGGGTAGGATCTGCTGTCTGTATGATGCCCAGGACCACGTCATGAGGACACATATGTGATATCACAGTAACAGGGTGGAAGGGTAGGACTGGACATGGTGCAGGTTTTCTAGGATCCAGTAGACCGGGTAAAGGAGGAGTCAGAGTCCTCAGTGGCTTTTGCAGGCTTTTATTGGGATTTACCCGGTACACAGCAGGCAGGGGTGCTGGGGGCCAGGAGGCTGGCAGGCCTCCCGGCCCCCAGCAAGTCTTTTTTTTTTTTTTTTTTTAAAAGCATTCCCATTTTTTTTTTTTTTTTTTAAAGATTTATTTATTTATTTATACAAGCACTGGGTAAAGTCAGAAGCGCGGGAGGGTGAGAGAATTCACCAGAGCCAGAGCAGGGAGCAGAACAGGCAGAAGGACCGAAGTACACTGCTGAGGGGAGCAGCGGGCGGCAGGAGAGGTCTGCGCACCATGTGGGACCCTCGCCTCGTGGCCGGGGATCGAACAGGCGCTGCAGAGGATGCAGGCAGCTTCGCAACCCAGTGCTCAACCGCTGCGCCACCGGGGAGGCCCCAGCAAGTCTTGACTCTATCTGGGCTCTCCGGCCTTCTCTGCTTCTCTCTCGGCTTCTGCTGCTGCTGGCATCCCCGCGATGCCTCCCTTAAAAGGCCATTCCCTCAGCCCACGTGTACCCACTGCAGGTGCCCGCCATCAGGCATGCATTCAGGACCACGGGGTTCCCTCATCTATCCTAATGGCGGGAGGGCAGAAAAGCCTGATACTTTTACCTTACCCTACATAGGGCCCTGCATCTGAGAAACATCTTGAGACCGACAATGTCAGAATGTCTGGAGAGCACAGGGTTTCGTCCGATGCTGTGCTCTGTTCATCCAACAGCCACCAAGCACCTGCTACATCCAGGCTGGGGGCTGTTTTAACTCCTCGGTATTGAGCAATGACACCCCCACATGCCTCCTCTCATGTAGCTGATGTTCTCATGTGGGGGTGAGGGGACAGAAGGGAGGCGAAAAAATTAGAGGTATGATTGCCTTGGAAAGAAAGCAAGCTGGGGGCCTCTCCTGATGATGCAGCGGTTGAGTGTTGGGCTGCAAAGCTGCCCGTAGCCTCTGCAGCGCCAGTTCGATCCCTGGCCTCCGGGCGAGGGTCCCACATGGCGTGTCAGACCTCTCCTGTCTCGCCTGCTGCTCCCCTCAGCAGTGTATTTTATCAGTCTGCTTGTTCTGTTCCCCACTCTGGCTCTGGTGAATTCTCTCACCCTCCCGCGCTTCTGACTGTACCCAGTGCTTGTATAAATAAATAAATAAATCTTAAAAAAAAAAAAAAAAGGCAAGCTGGGCCTGGATGAAAGGACCATCCAATGAGCTGGCGGGCATCCATTGCTACTTTATGGAGAGTCAATAAGGCGATTTCTCAGTGGAGCTGTGCAATAAGTGTGGGAGTGAGGCATGCAGTGACCTGTGAATATCCAGGCAACAGACACAGCAAGTGCAAAGGCCCTGTGCTAAGAGCATGCTTGGCCCAGCTAAGGGGCAGCTAGGAGGGCTGCGTGGCTGGAGTGCAGTGAATGGGTATAGGGTAAGTGAAAAAGTGTCAGGCTTTCTGTCCTCCCGCCATTAGGATTGATGATGGATCCCTGCGGTCCTGAATGCATGCCTGATGGCGGGCACCTGGAGTAGGGTGTGGGCGTGCATAAGTGGGTACACCTGGGCTGAGAGACTGGGCTTATAAGGGCGGCGTCATGGGGACGCCAGAAGAACCACGAGAAGAGCAGAGAGCAGAAGCAGAGACCACCAGAGAACGCCGGAGAGCCCAGAGAGAGAGAAGACTTGCTGAGGGCTGGGAGGCCTGCCAGCACCCTGGCACCCCTTGCTAGCCCTGTATCTGGTAAATCCCAATAAAAGCCTGAAAACCACTGAGGGCTCCAGGACTTCTCCCTTACCCCGTCTGCTCGGATCATAGACAACCTGCACTGTGCCCATTCCTGCCGCTACAATGGGGAAGAGGGAGCAGGGAAGATCCACAAACACCCCAGAAGGCCAGGGCTATGCAAGGTTGGGCTCCATGTAACACCATGAGGCTGGGCAATAGTAATAGTAGGATTTACTAGTGTGGTTCAGAAAACTGGCACAGTACCTGGTCCTGCTGACCCCACATTGGCTATAGACAGACTCCTTAGAGCCTAACAGCAAGAGAAATCCAGAAACCCCACAGAGCGGGATCCCACAGAGGCTTGTGACAGGGCGCAACGAAACTACAGAAGAGAAGCGTCTAAGCCAGATGACTAGGGGCCAAGGAGGAGGTGGGAACTGAGAAGGGAGACCCCTCCAGAGCACAGATGCGGAAAGGGAGGGCTGAGCTGGAGCAGGAGAGCGGGGGGCAGGGGGTGCTGGGGGTCCAGATCCCAGGAGAAAGGGGTTGAGGAGCAGGGCTGGAGAGGCGAGTGAGAGGAAGGGAGATTTTGGGTTATGGGGCCTCTAGATAGGGAGGCACATGCTTAAATGTGTGTGGGGGGAGTTGGTGGTTTATTGTGGTTTATGGGGGGCAAAGGGTGAGTAGACGTGGAATAAGCACTTTGATCATTTATCTGCCCACCCAGGGCCCTGCTTCCTCATCGGTCTTCAGGCTGCTCTGGCCGGGAGATGACGGCGAAACAGAAGGTAAGGGACCACTTCCACCTATGCCAGCTTTTGGTCTCTCATCCCATCCTACCAGGTTCAGGGCCTCCTTTGAGACAGATCTCTGAGCCTGCCCTGGGGCTTGGAGGCCGCTCCTGGTAGGAGAGTCCTCAGTTAACAGTAAATCACATATTGGAGCCTGTCCTGGACCTCGGCGTGGCTTCAGCCCCGACCCTATGTTTTACAGTCCGTCCGGGATGCACAGAGCTGTTGCTCTGCCCCTAGCAAACCTGTGCCTCTGGGAGGAAAAGGGCCTTGCAAAGTCACATGGCCAGTGGGTGACTGCGTTGGGCCTCGAGCCCAGCTCCTGGGGTGAGCGCCCCACAGTAGCACTGCGGCAGCTGCGGGAACAGAGCCCAGTGATGGCCGAGTCCCAAGGACAAGCCTGGGCAGGGGGTGGGACGGGCTCTGGGATGGGCGCGGGGGGCTGGACACCAGGTGGTAAGGAGACTGAGGGAAGGCAGAAAGGGTTGAGCAGAACCAGAGGGGGCTCCAGAAAGGCCTGGTAATACGTACCAAAATGGCTGGGAAAACAGAAGCTGCATCTTCTGAAACAAGATGGCGAGGGAACCGATTGTGTCCATTCTGCAGGTTGGGGAAAAAGAGGCAAGTAGAGCTGCCCACCTGGGTTGCTCAAGGGCCTATAGTAACTTAGGGCCCTGGGGCCCTGCTAGAAGCCAGGTAGGGCAGACAAGATGTCAGACTTTTCTCTCTCAGGTGTGGATGATGAAATAAAGATGATGAGCAGGGAGATGGAGGCAGAAATCAAGGTTGGGTCTGAAGAGAGGGGGTAGGGCAGGCAGAGGCACAGATGGAGCCTGTCAGCCCGGAGATGGTGGACAGGGCCAGTTACAGCCAGGCAGCATCAGCTGGTCGGGTGTCACAGAGTCCCCGCGTCTCCTCCCACCGCTGCGGACCCATCCACTTGGCTGCACTGTAGCGTGAGGGACCGAGGCTCCCTGGTCCCCGGGGTGACTGAGCAGGGGAGGCGGGAGTTGGGCGCCACCTCCTCCCCAAGCACTGGCAAATCCGCAGAGGCCTCCGCAGCAGCCACCCACCTTCCTTGGCCCCCTCCTCACCCACCCTCCCCTCTGCGCCTGATGGTACGCTCCTGTCTGCCTGGCCGGCTGCAGTGGATATTGCTAGAACCCACGCGGAGGAAGGAAGAGACACAGGCAGGCTGCGGTAATCCAAGCGGCTGCCCCTGCCTCAGGGACCCCATCCCAGAGAGACGACAGCATGACCCAGGGAAAGGTACCTGCATCTCCCCCCACCCCTGCACCATCCTCCATCCTGCTCCTTGTTCCCTGTCATCCTGAGCAAGCTCTCTGGACCACTCTGAGCATCCTTCCTTGGTCCTATGCAAAGGTCCTCTTGGCCCTTCCTGAAGTCAGAGGACATTTTGGCGTTTCAAGGAATGGGGTGGAGAGGCCCCTTCCTGCCCACCAGGCTCACCCATACTCCCGACCCCCACCCCCATGCTTTGGCATCACAAGATCCCTCTCTGGTGCCCAGGCCTCTGAAGGAGTCAGCTGGTGCCTGGGGTGTGCACGCCTGTGTGTGTGTGCAGGGTGAGTCCTAAGGGGCAGTGTCTATGGGGCACCCCCTCCAGGTCCAGTCCCAGCCCCAACCACTTACGCTCATCTTTCACACGCGCCACAGAAACACCCCCACCCGATGCCCTGTCATGATTTTCCATCTGGATATATTCCCTATGGTTGGGGGGTTACTATGGCAACCCTGCATCAGGAAGCTCTAATTTTTGTTTTTGTTTTGGCGGAGCATGGTGCTGCAATGGACTGGATAAGACATCTTTTTTTTCTTTTTTTTTCCTTCCAGTTTTAGGCCTGAAATGAAGGGGAGGGGCTGGGGCAGAGACTTGGCCGGCCTGGTAGGGTTATATAACATCAACAGCCTGTGGAATTATACAACCACCAGGACATGGGGCTAAGGGGGAGGGTCCTCTAGCCCTCTGTTTGGGGGTGTTAAGGATTGGGCAGAGAAAACAGAAGAGAGACCTCCCCTACACTACCCCATCTTTTCTCTGAGATAACCTCACAGCCAATGGCATCTGTCCCTGGCCTGTCAGACCCTCCTCTCCCTGTTTTTAAGTCTCAAATGATGTCATTGGGTGATACCACCTCCTGCTGTTGGGCAGACCTCACTTGGGAATGCCGGATGTGTGTAATGGGGTGGCAGGGCCCAGGAGGCACTGGGGTGCTGAGTGGCACTGTGGGGGCTGGTGAGGAGGACCAGTTTTGCCTGAGCTGCAGTCAGAGGTGATGATCCTTGCCCAGGCACAAGCCCTGGGTCTGGTTCAGAGCACCTTGTTTCCAGTGACTAAAATGGTTTTTCCTGGGCATGACTCTTCTGGCCTGGGTGATGAAGGATGTTGGGGAGCAAGAGGGAAGAAGACAAGCCAGGGCCCCATTTCGACCACAGGCCTGGTTCTAAGGTCCTTCCCCAAGGAGGCAAGTGTGCAGGGGGGCCAGTGGGCAGTGGTGGTGGGGAGTGTTCACAGTGGGGAAAGGAAGTGTCCTCACTTCTGCTGGGCCCTGGGCCCCTGCCTCTGGTGCCCCTCACCCCCAGCTTGCTCACAGACTCTCTGGTGATGGAGCCCCCTCCAGTTCCAGTCCTTCGGGCTGATGGAAGCAGAGATCTTCCAGACCTTCCCTACCTGGGCTACCTTAGCTGCACGTGCCAGCAGCCTTCCCCAGTGGCCCTTCAGGTTGAACACATTTTTTTTGGAGCCAGACCTCCCATTTTCTGAGGTCCGATCCTTCCGTTGATGTTGCAGTTTCCCTGCCACCCTTCCACCAGCCTCTCCTGCCCTGAAGGCATCATTCAGCACCCAGCCCTCCTCAGAGCTAAGCTCTTGCAAGGCCGGGGCTTTTTTGAGCATACTGGACTTGAGTTTTCCATCTGCCACCCACACTTTCTTCTGGACCCCATTTTCTTCACCCATAAAAGCAAGGGACTGAATAAAATGTCTTTGGAGACCCCTTCCAGCAGTCATAGTCTGTGATTCTGTTCTGGTTTAGGGGAGGGACTGGAGCCCCTATAAGATGAGGCCAGGGAGGACCCTTGGCCTGTCCTGTGCCCCATAACCCCATTCCTCTGCTCCCCCCTTTCTGTTTCCCTGCCCCATCCCGATACTCCTTGGCCATCTCCAGCCAGCGGTGGGTCCATGTGGCTCTGAGACCCTTGTTAAAACCGGGGTCAAAATACAACTATTTTGCAAGCAGGCAGGGAGATGAAGAGGGAGAACCTTTCATTTAATAGTATTTTTGAGGACCGACTCGTGCCAGACTCTTTCCTACACCCCAGGAAAACAATGGAACCATCAGAGTCGGTCTCGGCCTGGGAGGCGTGACCATGGCCGTGGGCGCTCCTGAGCCCTTGCACCATCCTCACTTCTTACCCTAGCTGCAGCTTGTGCCCCTGGCCGGCCCAACGCTCCGGAACTCAGTTTTTACATCTATAAAACAAGGAGACACTCTTTTTTTAAATCTTGGTTTTATTGGCCTATAATTGAGGAATAGAAATGGTATGCATTATGCAGCCTAATAGTTTAATATATCATTTATTGTGAAATGTCATCACATGCAAACCAGTTAACAGTGTGTGGGGGGCAGGGAGGCAGGAACTCTTAGGATCTATCATCTCAGCAAATTTCAAGTAGGCAATACGGTATTGTTAACTCTAGTCACCATGCTGTGCATTAGATCTCTAGAACTTTCTCATCTTGTATAACTGAAACTTTGTACCCTTTGATCATTATCTCCCTTCCCCAGCCCTTGCTGACCACCTAAGCTTCATTCGATTATTTTAGTTCCCACACATAAGTGAGATCACTCAAGACTTCGCCTTTTTCACATAGTGTAATGACATTCGGGTTTATTCATATTGTCAAAACTGGCAAAATTTCTTTCCTTTTAAAGGTTGAATAATATTCCTGCGGCCTCCCTGGTGGCCTAGGGGTTAAGTCTCAGCACAATCACTGCTATGGCCTGAGTTTGATCCCTGGCCAGGGAGCTGACCCACATGGCGCAGCAGACCTCTCCTGTCTCGCCTGCTGCTCCCCTCAGCAGTGTATTTCAGTAGATCCGCCTGTACTGCTCCCCACTCTGGCTCTGGTGAACCCTTTCACTCCCCACACCACCTCTGGTCTACACCCCAATTCTCTGACACGCACACACAAATTTTAAAAATGTTAAATAATATTCCTATATATAGACTAGAATATATACACACACACATGCACATATATGCATGCCACATACAATATGTAAGTATGCCTGTATATATGCATATATAATGTGTATTATACACATATATGCATATGACATCAAATGTAAAAATTATGTTTATGTGCTGTATGTATAAAATAAAATAGGGAGCTTCTTGTGTGACCCCGATCCTTCCTAGTACAGGTGAGCAAGTAGACATGGAAATTCCAGGAATTGAGGGGCTTGTAGGAGGGCTTGGAAGACATCCTGTCCCTGGTGACTGTCTCTCTGCCTCTACTCCACAGCTCTCCGTGGCTAACAAGGCCCCCGGGACCGAGGGGCAGCAGCAGGCAACTGGTGAGAAGAAGGAGGCTCCAGCAGTGCCCTCGGCCCCACCCTCCTATGAGGAGGCCACCTCTGGGGAGGGGCTGAAGGCTGGGGCCTTTCCTCCACCCGCCTCGGCTGTGCCTCTCCACCCTAGCTGGGCCTATGTGGACCCTAGTAAGTTTCTCAGCTTCTGGAAGTTGGAGCATCAGGGGCAATGTGGGCCTGGGAAGGAATCCTGGGTAGAAGTTGCCCAGAAATAGATGCACTGTGTGGTTGTTGTATGAGGCTCTGTGGCCAAAGGCTTGGGAGGTGGAGGACAATTCTGAGGGTAGGTTGAAGAGGACTGCATGAAGAGGGACAGGTACATTCAGAGCACTCTTGGGTGGGGAAGTGGGGATTTTTTAAGTCACTGAGTTAGGGTGAATAGAGGAGAACGTGTGGAGAGAAACAAGGGGCTAGTCCAGAAAAGCTCTCCGAGGCAGAAAGAATGCAGAAAAAGATGGGAGACATCAGGGTGGGTGCGGGAAGGGGCCGCAGGCTGGCCACGTCTTAACTGGGGCTGGTCCTGTGAGCGGGGAGGACACAGTGTTGTTTCCTTGTCCCCAGTCTGAAACCTTCATGGTGATACATCCCGATGGAGACCCCAAGGTTCTTAGGGTCAAGGATCTGAGGATCCACTTCCCCCATCTCCTGTCTCTTCCCTTCCTTTGTTGAGGGCAAGAGGTCATGACCTGGGGAAGGCATGTGGACACTTTCTCGGTGTCTAGGTACACATCACAGGCAGACACAGGCTGATGCCAGCTCCTTGCAGACCAAGTGACTGGGGTGGAGGCCCTTGTTGGGTTGAGCAGCCTGCAGGAGCTTTACCTCAGAGCTGAGAACACTTGTTCACAAGCTATAGGGAAGGGACCCTCCTCAAATCCTCCTCAACCCCTCCTGCCCCCTCAGTGGTCCCCAGCCCCTCTCCCTCACCTTAGCAAGCTCCTCCCACACCTCCCCCAGCAGAATTCTAGAAGGGATCACAGGGACAATGCCTCAGGCAGAACTTCTACTCACAAGAAGAAGAGACTACCATGGTCCATGCTTCTCACTACAAACCCCCTCAGTCCAGAGCCGAGCAGACTTACCACCTTGTGACCTACTGGAAGGCCAATGAAGGTCTGGCTGTCCCCGAACACTTCCTCTTCCTACCCACAGGTCTATACACCATGGGCTGCTTTCTCTCTCCTTTCCCCCCAGCCCCCCCTACCCCCGTGCTGTTTGTCGGGAAGTTGGTGAGAGACAGACAGAGCATGACGGGGAGTGAAGGACAGCAGGTGAGGGCCTCCAGCTCCAGGCTTGCCGCGGCCTTGCGCTCTGCCTGGCTCCTCATGTCCGGCTGCCAGGACTGGATGCTTAAGGATATTTTCCTAAGAACTGTTGGGGCAGGAAGGCAGCTCACTCAGCGTGTGACAAATGCTCACTACAGAGTGTGTCAGACAGCACTGAGCTCGTTTCTGGGGATGCACGTGGGCAAGGCCCGCCCTCACGGAGCTGCCCTTGTAGACAGGTAAGTGGGCGACAACCACAGAGTGGAGCAGATGTGGTGAGAGCGCCTGCCAGTCTGGGAAGACTGCTTGGAGGGAGGGGTGTCTGCGTGAACCCTGAAGTGAGCGTGGCGAGAAGGGAAGTGAGTGTTCAGGGCTGAGAGAATAGAAGGTTCAGAGGCGAGAGAGCACATGGCTGTAAAAATATAGTCAGGCTGGAGAAAATGGCAGAGGGGACTTGCAGGGCAGCTGGAGGGCTCTGCTCGGAGAGGCTTTGTTCAGGAACTTGAACTTGAGTAAAAGGCAGTGGGGAGCCCTAGAAGAGCGGAGCAGGGGGGTATCACCGCCACCTTTAAAGACCAACATGGCGACGACTGCTGAGGAGCCGCGGAGGTCAGGGGAATGGGTGTGTGCTGTGGAGGAGAGTAGGTACATCTGAGCACTGGCAGTGGCCCAAACAAGGGGTGCAAAGAAGAGGGTGGCACAGTCCTCACCAGGCACGAGCCACAGGCTTTCGTCTGGTCCCTGTGGGAACCATTAATCCACATCACAGACCAGAAGAGGCCCGAAAGTGTGGTGGCGCAAGGTCACCCAGCTGGTCGGTCTCACTGGGGGGGGTTCACATGTGCATCTGTTTCACTGTGGGGCTCACGCTCTTCTGAAAGCCTGAATTCTGGGACCAGGCCCCAGAACTTTCTATCTTCACCCACCCCACTTCTTGCTCTTGTCTTGGCTTTGTTTTGCCTCCCGTCCTCCCCTAGCCCTGATTCCCAGCTGCAGCACTGGCATGTCTACCGCATCCAACAAATCCCCAATCCCCAGCCCAGGGGCCTAGGAGCAACCTGGGGTCAGGACTTTTGACCCTAGGATGTGTTAGTGGCCTCGGGAAAGTGGCTGACCCTCTGATCCTTGGCCTCAAAGGAGCCAGTGTCCTGGGATCAGGATGGGGGACACAAGAGAGAGAGTTTAGCCCCCAGGGAGCCCCAGCCAGAGTGGAGGGAAGGGGACAGGAGAAGACAGTTCATTCTCAGGACTCGGGGAAAAACCAGAAGCAACAGGGGATAGAGAGGTCTGGGTGGGGTGGGGTGGGAGGCTTGAGAGGAACTGGAGAGAGAGGCTCCAGCCAGTCTAGAGAGCCGGTTTGACAAAAATGAGCTCGGAGCAGCCTTTGGGGACAGCCTAGGTATGGGAGTCCTCATGGCCGTCCTCCTGCCCCCCCAGGCAGCAGCTCCAGCTATGAGCATGGTTTTCCTGGAGATCATGAGCTCTTCACCACCTACAGCTGGGATGACCAGAAAGTTCGCAGAGTCTTCATCAGAAAGGTAACTGCCTCCCCCAATTCTCTAGGTTTCTCCCCCAATTTCTCTAGGTTTGGAGAAGCTTGTGACCTAACCTGCTGGGGTATCCCTTTACCTATGAGCTTGCTGGCCTGTGGGGCAGTATTTCCTTGCTTACCATCACACCTAAGCCCCCATCACACCTAAGCATGGAGTCTCTCCTCTCTGGATACCATGGGGCACATTTTCCTGTGGGTGGGGGCTCTAGAGAGTCTTTGCTCCCCTTTCACCATGTCTGCGGTCCATTCCAGTGACCCCTAAGAAGGATGAAGGGCTCAGGGTCTGGAGAATAGATTGAGTTACCAGGACACTGGGGTCTTCCCGAGTCTTGCTGGGACCTGGGCCTCCCTGGCTTCAAACAGGGCCCCAAGCTCAACAGAACCCCTTCCTACCCACAGGTCTATACCATCCTACTGATCCAGCTGCTGGTAACCTTCAGCGTCGTGGCTCTCTTTACCTTCTGGTGAGTGGGCATTGTGCCTAGCACCTTCCAGCGGGGGGCCAAGGCCAAGCCTGGGGTGGGGCACCTAGAGTCATTCTCTCGGAAGCTTCCCCAAGGAGAAGGATGTGAGTTTGCAGACGTCACGCTGGGAAGAACCTCAGCAAGGGCAGAGAGGGGGCCTCCACCCCCTGAGGGGCAGACCAGGTGCCTTCTGGGCCTGCAGGGGTCTGTGAGGCAGCCATTCCTCTCCAGCCCACCAGCCCACACCCAGGGACCTCCGAGCCCGGACTGGGGCTGGGCTCCCTGAGCCAATGGAGGCAGTTCCCTCCTTTCCTCCTCTGGAGTCCTGTGGCTTCCGGGGAGTAGGTACGGATGTCGAGCTGGAAATAGAGTCATTGGTTCAATTCTGATTCTCTCTCCCTTCTTTGCAGTGACCCTGTTAAAGACTATGTCCAGGCCAACCCAGGCTGGTACTGGGCGTCCTAGTGAGTATACCCCAGTTCCCAGCCCCTCCCCTCCAGAGAATCCTCAGTGGCACAAGATGGGAAATCTCTGTTGACAGAATCCAAGCAAAAGATGGACAGAGGGGCCCTTCTGGGGTATTTAGGTGTGAGGGGGAGGGGAGGAGGTGGCCATAGGTCTGGTGCCTGCACGAGGTGGGGAGCCAGATCTTTATCGGCTTTCCAGTAGGTCACATGACTAGAGAGACCCAGATCTCAACTCTGAAGGGAAGGGGGCTGGGACACCTTGGCCCACACAGATGGTGTCGCTGCTTCATTAGCATTGTTATTAATACTTAGAAATTATTAATCACAGAGTGCCTAATAAGGGCTGGGCATTGTTCCATGTACTTAATGCACAGTATTGCATTGATTCTCAAGTCAACTAGTATAATTACCTCCGAAAACTAAGGCTCAGAGAGGTTGAGTAATTTACCCAAGGTCACTTAGCTAGTGGGTGGTGGAGCTGGGATTCAAACCCAGGATTCAAGTTGAGGCTTGTGCTCTTAATCCCCTGTGCAGCAGACTCCCTTCTTCTGAGCCCTCGGCTCCTCTTGTCCTGCACTTTTGAAGGAAATGCAGGTAGTTGAGAGAAGAGGTGTGATGGTGTAGGTGATTCTCACCCTCCTAGCTGGGTAGGTAAGTGTCATGCTGTATAGTTCCAGGCCAGAGCTGTCCTGGGCTCAGAGCACAACAGTGTAGTCTCCTTCACACCCGCTGTGAACCCAGCCCCCCTGCTGGGCCTGCTGCCGTAAAGTAGTGAACAGGGAACAGACAGCATATGAAAGAGCAGTGTGCAGAGGATGGGGGAAGAGGAGTGTGGCCCACTACCCCTGAGCCCCCAGTCCCCAACTGGATGCACCTCAAAAGATGGACCTAGGTGGCTGGGGACTAGAGTGGCTTGCAAAAGCATGGGCAGGAGAGCACATGTGGAACATTTGCTAAGTTGGAGGCTGCATTGGCAGATGGTGGGAAGGTTCCCTGAGGGAAAGCCGGGACACCAGAGAGCAGTGGGGCCTGCTGGGATGTGGGCGCTGAATGCCCAGCCAAGGGACTTCACATTACAGCCATCCCAGGCCTGTTTCTGGATGGGGATCAGGTGGGCATGTGGGATCTGCTCAAAGCCTTCTCAACTACCCCAAGCCTAGAGCAGCCCCAGAGTAGCTGTGGTGTTAACACAGCCCACCGGCAGCTGACCGGAAGGAGACTCTCCTGGCCTCCAGGGCTCCTCAGAGCAGAGGAGAGAAGTGGCTTAGCCAAGCTGGAGTCCCAGGGAAGGAGACATTCACACCCAAAGCCTTTCTTCTTCTTTTTTTTTTTTAAAGATTTATTTATTTATTTATACAAGCACTGGGTGGTACAGTCAGAGCACGGGAGGGTGAGAGGATTCACCAGAGCCAGAGTGGGGAGCAGAACAGGCAGACTGATGAAGTACACTGCTGAGGGGAGCAGCGGGCGGCAGGAGAGGTCTGTGTGCCATGTGGGACCCTCGCCGTTGGCCAGGGATCAAACCGGCGTTGCAGAGGCTGTGGGCAGCTTTGCAGCCCAGCGCTCAACCATTGTGCCACCGGGGAGGCCCCCACCCAAAGCCTTTCTGAGGGCACAGAACAGAGGGCCTGTCTGCAGAACTGGCAGGGAGGCGTGTGTCTTGGGGAATTGGGAGGCACTGTATGGTAAAACTAATGAGGCCCCAGGGACTGGCACCCCCACCAGCCCACATGGCAGGTTGGCATGACTCCTGACACGTCTGCACTGCCTGGCAGTCTCCAGAGCCCTGAGAATGGAGTCCCCAGACCCTGGCCAGGTCTTCTCTGGGAGGGTCTTTGGGACTCTGTCCTGAGCAGATGATGACAGAAGACAGCTCAGGGTGGCAGGCTCAGTGCGTGGGGCCAGAAAGGAACCTTGTGAGGGCGGCCATGAGATCCGACCTCGGTGGGGTGGCGCTTCCCTCCTCCTCAGCATCTCTGGCACAGACAGAGGTACTAGGAGGACCCGGAAGTGCAGACTGTGCTTTCCTTGGGCACCACAACGCTTTCAAGATTTCAAGGTGCTTGGGCATTCGCTCCCAGGATGCTTCCCTTGCTTCTAGAAAGCCAGCCTGTGGCCAGGACATCCTCTCCTGTCCCCTCTGTACCCCTCTACTCTTCCTGCCCCCCAGTCTGCCTCTGAGATCTCGCGGGTCTCACCTCCTCCAGCACACTGCGCCCTTAATAGCAATAAGAATAGAACAGCTGCTTCTCTATGTGTGAGGCCCTGTGCTAAGTGCTTTACAGATATTTTTCATTTGACCCTTGCGACAACCCTATCAGGTGGATACTACTATTAACCCCATTTTATAGATGAGGAAGTTGGGGCTCAGAGAGAAGTTATTGCTTTGCAATCAGCATAGCCAGGATCGAAGTCTTTCAGACTGCAAAGCTCATGCATTCCCCTCTGTGCTGCTTCCCCAGGGCCTAGAACTATCCTGGAGCAGGACAAGTTGGGGGCTGGGGGAGGACACTAGGTCAGGTACTGGCTTCTGTCAGAGCCTCACTCCCATGTCCTGACGCTCTGTAAACAGACCATGGCTCCAGTCCAGGCCCTGGGGCCCAGGCTCTTACATGCAAGTAGGTCTTTCTCCCTTCTCCAGTGACTCACTCTCTACCCCCTGGGTGGCCGCCTTCCAGCACACACACCCCCACCCACCCCCCACCCCTGATTCCCAAGGCTCCAGTCATCTCCCTCAGAGGCTCTTGCCTTATTGTCTGATCACTCCCTATGAGCCACAGTGGTGGGGACCGCAGGCCTCGTGGCAGTGGGTGGGAGGGGCTTGGGCAGAGAAGGAAAAGTGTGAGACCAGAGCTGGAGGTGTGAGGTGGAAGCCGCAGAGCTTCTCCAGGAAACTGTCAGTCAGCCAGGCTCTAATTATCATCATAACGCCCATCCTCAAGGTCTTACCCTGCACCAGGCCCCGTGCTAATGCTAAACACTGGACGTGTGTCTCTCATTCAGTCTTCTTCGCTCCAGCCCAGTGACTTGGTGCCAATATTCCTGTTTTACAAAGGAGGGAGCTGGAGCTCTGCAGTGAAGTCACTGGCTCCAGGTCACAGAGAGCAGTGCAAGCTGGGGCCACAGGCTGCCCAGAGCCCCAGGCTGTCAGTCTCTCTGCCCTTTAGCCAAGCCACTTGCCTGGAGGGCTGAGAAGCTCTAGATCAGAGAAAAGGGGATTGGACCCATCCCTCAGCAATCTCCCCATCTGGCCGGGAGATAGGACCCACACAGAGGCTGCATACAGAGAGCGAGCTATTGCCGCCATCATTGTCAAAGTGGCTGGCCAGTGACTCAAGCGACACCAAAAGCGAGCAGTTGCCGGGATGTTTCTCAACTGGGGCAGGGCGACCCCACTCCTCCTGGAGAGGCAGGATGTTTAGCAGCCCTGGCCCTGAGAACACCTCCGTCACCGTGACAGCCCATACTCTGGAACCCCTAAAGACAGGAAAGGCTAAACATGGCGGGGCTCTCTGGTCACCAAACCCACAAGGCTTGCCTCATCCCCTGCCTGCCCTGTTCTTTTGCATTCCCTCCAGAAGTATTTACAGAGCGCCACAGTGGCAGGCCTGGGGCTAGGCGGTGGGCAGGGACATGGTGAGCAGGTTGCCCCAGGGGCTCCACCTGGAGGGTGGGGGGGGGTGTGAGGGCGCAGGCTTAGGTCGAGGTTTACCCTTGGTTCACAGAGGAAACCCCTTGAGCCCAGGCCTCAGGCATCCTGGCCAGCAGCAGGAGAAGGTGGTGTGGGGCGTGAGAGAGGAGAGCGGAGGGGTGGAGCGTGGTAGGGAGGCCTGGAGAGGAAGGCAGGGTGGGTCGTGCGGGGCATTGCCAGTCTCTGGAATCTTACACAGGAAAGCGACATGATCAGTTCTGCCAGGAGTTTGGAGGGCAGAAGGCAGGACCAGAGGCAAGATGACCAGATGGCTAGAGGTGGCCTGACCGAAAAGGTGATAGTAGGGAAGGGTAGGGCCATCGAATCCGGTGGGTAGTTAGTTGCATGTGGGAAGGAGAGGATCGAGGATGATGCTATGGCTGACTGGGTGACGGTGGGTGCGCAACTTCCTCTGCAACAGGTGATGCAGGGGGTCAGCGAAGGGTTGAGTTTGGGTCTGACCTGTTGAGTGTTTCTCAGTTGGATATTCAGCCCTGGGGCTGAGGAGGAAAATCTAAATCTAAATCTGCAACATGGGTGTGCTGATAAAGTGAGCTCACCCTTGGAGATCATGCGGGGAGATGACCTCTGCAGGACCCTGTGTGGAAGGCACCAGGCATACTTAGAGATACTCTGACGAGATTATGAAGGAGAGGCCAGGGAGGCAGGAGGAAACCCAAGAATGTGTCATTTGGAACCAGGGAAACAGCGGGAGCGATCAGATGTTGCTAAGTCAGGCTAGATAAGGACTGACAAGTGTCAATTGGACTTAGCAAGGTCACAGCCACACGGCAGAGCCAGGTGTGGTTATGTGGGGCTGGAGCTGGTTTGTTGAGTCGGGGATCAATCAGGAGATGGAAAGTCACCCTGAGCAGAGACAACTCTTTCAAGAATCTTGGCTTTTAGCCTGAAAACAGAGGCAGTAGCTAGAGTTGAGGAAGATGTTGGCTAGAGATGGAAAACATTTGAGGAGGAGCCTGCGGGAGGAGATGTAGCAGGAGAAAGGTTTCATAATGATGCGGGGCACCTGAGGGCATGGGGCCTCAGGCTGGGGGCATTGGCTTGGGATGGGAGGAGGGAGAGGAAGGAAGGGCAGGTGCACAGGTGAGGTTTGAGGTTTGTAGGTGGCAGGCAGGGAGCCGGTGAGCCCCACCTCATCTCAGCTCTTCCTGGGACATCACACCAGGCAGGAGAGCAAGGCGGCCTGGGAGGCTGTGGCTGGGGGAGGAGGTTTGGAACAGCTGCTGTGGGGACAGGAGATGGCCGAGGAGAGATGGGGAAAGGTGGCAGGTGCCGCATTGAGGGCCCACTGAGGCTGGGCACTGCCCTTGGCCATGGCACCACCCAAGTAGGCATGCGCAGGCCTGCTGGAGTCATTGCGTCCTCAGTCTCAGCTCCCAGTTGGACTGGCCTCTGGACTGGCCTGCTGTCCAGAAAATCCTCAGTCCCCAAGTCCCATCTCTGGGTTTTGCCAGAGCTCCCTGCCAGTCTCCCAGTGGGCAGGGCCACCTGGTTCAGAAATTCATGCTGTGCCAATGCTGGCAGGACAGGGCTCTACCCCTGCTGAACGTGCAGCCTAGTGAGGTAGGCAGACAATAAACAAGAGCCTTGAAGGGAGTGACAGGTCGATGGGGCCTGAAGGAGGCAGTGTGGGGTCATGGGTATAACCCAGCCCTGGAGCCAGGTGCCTGGGTCCCAGCGCTGCCTTTGCTGTGAGGTCGCTGCCTGATGTTGGGCAAGTCACTGGCCTCACTGCCGCTCAGCTGGAAAGCACAGAGCGCGCTTCATTCATTAATGTCTGTGAAGTTAGCACTGCTCCTGCCCTCGGAAGACTCTAGACGAGCCTTTCTTTGAAGGAGTCAGCTAGTGTCCGCAGACCACTTTAGAACGCGCAGTGGATCTCCCGTGGCACCCAAAATTCAGTATTTCTAGAAGCTCATCCTATTCTCCTCTTTTGGAATTGGACCACCACCTGTCACTGCCAGGTTCTGGGGTGGCCCTGGCTTTAATCCACTTCACCACCACCCCCAGCACCTTGCCTGGCACCTGTGGGCAGGTGGAGTAGAGCGTAGAATGAGCAGGGGGCTGAGTGGAGGGGCCTCACAGTGGGCCGGCTGATCCCCCGTCCATCTGTTCTCACAGTGCTGTGTTCTTTGCGACCTACCTGACCCTGGCCTGCTGTTCTGGACCCAGGTATGATGGTCAAGTTTGTGGGAATGTGAGCGGGACCTTGGGAGACTGGGCCCTGTCTTGTCTTCCACCAGTGCTGTGCACCAAGAGGCCCCGTCCTGCCCTGGGCTCCATCAGAATACCTGCCCCTCCCTCCTTCACTCGGCACCTGTGAGGTGGGGGATGGTGGGCAGACAGACGGGGGTACCTGGGGAGTATGACTGAAAGACGAAGATCCCAGGTGTGGGGTTAGGTTTGGGCAGAGACCCCCTCCCTGCAGAGGAAGCCAGCCTGTTTTGCGGCACCCCCACATTCCTCTGACCCTGGTGCTTGCCTTACAGGAGGCATTTCCCCTGGAACCTGATTCTCCTGACCATCTTTGTAAGTGACCTGGGGGTGTCTGAGTGAGGATGGAGGAGGAGAGACGGAGGGTGGCAGCCTGGGTTGGTGATGGCCACTGTGGGCTCACGGGGGTGGGGGGTGGTGCAGGGACACTTTGACCCCAACTACTACACAAAAGTTTCCACCTTCTCCAAAATGGACCGAGTCTCTTGCCACTGCACTCACTGTCCCTTTTCATTTTGGTTTTGTTTTTGAAACCACATGTGGCATTGTGGAACATGGATAATGAAGAGTGGGGAGGGAGAGCTCTTAGAAAGGGGGGAAGAGACAGGCAGCAAAAGAAAGAAAAGGATGCCAACTTGGGCCCCTTGGGACGCCCCTTTGCAAGGTCCACGTGTGGAAATAAGTGTGTGAGCAAAGCTGACTCAAAGTCCAGGGAATATGTGCAAGGGCTGGACCTTGAAGGTGTCTGGAGCCCACAGAGTCTGAGTTCTGCTGTACAACCCTCATCTGTTCTGCTGTTTCTTTCAGACCCTGTCCATGGCCTACCTCACTGGGATGCTGTCCAGGTAAAGGGGACTGGCCAAACCCTGCGGGGAGCTGCCCCTGAGCACCACCCCTCCTGGGAGCATTTGGATAGAAGAGGGGTTCAGGCAGGCAGGTGACATTGCGGGACACTGCCTATAGGGTCTGTAGGATGGAGAACAAGGTGACTCCTCAGGCCACAGCTCACAAGTGCCCAGACTCCTGCTCATTCAGCACAGAAAATCCCCACCAGGCACCAGCACAAACCCTCCTGTTACTTTTCAAGATCCTTCTAACAGGATTTGAAGCCTGACCAGGATGGAGAGGGCAGGGCCCAGTAGAAAAACTGGGGAAGCAGGAAGAGGGAAGATTCTGGGAAGGGGAGTTAGAAGCAGGGGGCACAGGTCTGCGATCAGGCCCTGCCGGTGAGGGGACTGGGGAGGAGGTGGGGCAGCACCGTGTGCAGGCCTGCCTGGCGGCTGACCCCCTGGCCCGGTGGACCTGCAGTTACTACAACACCACGTCTGTTCTGCTGTGCCTGGGCATCACGGCGCTCGTCTGCCTCTCAGTCACACTCTTCAGCTTCCAGACCAAGGTCAGTTCTGGGGCCTGGGGCTGGGGTGGGCAGATCCAGTGGGAGGCCCCAAGCTGGGATTCTCCGGCTGGGAGAGGTTAAAGGGGAGGGTCGGAGGGTCGAGGGAGCCACCTGGGAGAGGAGGGGGAGAGGAACCTGGATTCTGGGGGTGAGCACAAGGCAGGACTGTGCGGGCCTCAGCTTTCTGGCCAGCACACTGCCTGGTGAGGTCCCCAGGAAGGCCGGGCCGTTCTGCGCAGGCCTGGGGGCCCAGCAGCTGACGCCCATCCTGTCCCTGCAGTTCGACTTCACCTCCTGCCAGGGCGTGCTCTTCGTGCTGCTCATGACTCTGTTCTTTAGTGGACTCATCCTGGCCGTCCTCCTGCCTTTCCAATACGTGAGTCTCTGGGTCTCCCGGCTGGCCCCGCGAGGAGGGAGGGGGCAACCTGCAGGCCCAGGGTGCCATTTCCTCCTACACCCTCCAGGGAAGGCCCAGCGCCAAAGGCTCACAGCCTGCCATCCTGTCCAGCCCCCTGGCACCTGCCCTGGACTTGCTGGCAGCAGGAGCAAGCAAACAAGGAGGCTTTTTTTGGCAGGCCCAGGCACCCACCACATCCGGCTTCACCTTTTCATTCTTTTCTCCAGCGGGGAGGTGAGGCTGAGGGGGTATGAGCATTTAAACCCCAGGTAGAGCAGGGAGCTCTGGAGCTCCACTGGGCCTAAAGAAGTGGCTCCCCAGGCCTTGGGGGAGTCAGGTAAGAGGCTGGCTGGCTGAGCAGGCCATGGAGGGGCAGTGGGCTCCAGGCGCACCTCTGTCTGATCAGAGCATCCACAGGGCTGGCCAAATCTCAGTCCAGCCTGGGAGTCCAGCTAGGACGCTCAGGGCTCAGTCCCGTGCCAGGCACTCAGGGCCTGCAGTTGGGGAGGGGGCAGACGGAGGGCATCACCGCAGGGCCTTGAGGTTTGAATCTAAGAGCCCAGGAGATGCTACTGTTGTACCCTGCTAAGGATGCCTCTCAGCCACCGTTGGCACATGGGCCCCCACCACCCTTTTTTTGCCAGGCTGGGAGCAGTTCTCACCCCTGCCCCACCCCATCCTGCCCAGGCCCGGGTATTAGCTCCGGGTCCAAGACATCGGGGTTGGCTCTAGCATTTTCTTGGCTCTTCCCAGGATCCTGTTGACAAAGGGAGTGGCCGGAGCTGGGCCTGGGGCGCTCTGTGTATCTAGGGTGAGGGGTGGGTACAGGAAAGGGCCAGAACTTCAAAGAGCCCTTTATTAACTTATGTCAGTCAGATGGAATGCGCACATTTCCAGGAATCTTCTGGGGAAAGGCCCTGCAGAGGACACAGCTAGTGTGCACTGCTTATAGGGTTCCCACACAGCTGGGTGCCCAGGGAGGGGTGTGTGGAAGGGCTGAGGTCGGGAAGGGGCACTGCCCTAGCCCCTGCAGGCAATCCCACCGTGCACAGTTGACAGGGACTCTGGATGGTTCCCCACCTCCCCCTTGGTCCCTGGCTACATGCGCCCCTAACCTACACAAGCAGAGCCTAGGAACTCCTGGATGGAGGAACAGACAGACCCCACAAACAATAGGAACGCGTCCCTCAGTGCTACTTGCACCCTGGAAGGAGGGAGCAGCCTCAGACCAGACCCAGGCTGTGAGGATGACAGGGCCCCCAAAGGATGAGTTACCCTCATCCAGCCTGAGCCTGGGGTGATGTGAAGGAAAGACAGGCCAGGTGGGCTGGGGCTCCCAGCCAGCCCTCCATGATCAGTGTTATCTTGGGGTTCGCCCACCCACCCTGAGCACATAAAGAATCAAGACCCTTTAGACCTGGGGCTTTTGAGGGACTGCTGGGGAGTTCTGGGCAGGTGAGAGAAGAGAAGGCCCCCACTGTGGGGGGAGGTGTAGCCCATATCTTCCAGCTTCTGGACAGAGCCCTACTCCCTCCCAGCACCCCACAGTCACTGCCTAAACTCGCTTTGCATCTGCCCACAGGTGCCCTGGCTCCACGCAGTGTATGCCGTGCTGGGAGCAGGCGTGTTTACACTGGTGAGTGTGGCCCCCTGCATACAAGTAAGGCTGGATGAGCAGCAATCCCTGAATTTGTTTACTAATCCTTCTGTTCCGCCCTTTACACTTTACAAAGCACTTTCACACCTATCACCATAATCCAGGGAGGGGGGCGTCACAGGTGTTTTCCACATCTGAAGCCCTGGGTGTTAAGGGGTTGGCACAAAGTCCTGCTGCTAGTTAGGAATGGACCCAGCAGATGCTCTTTCCAGTGCCCCGTGTTCCCCTTCAGAGAGGACACTTCTATTGGTTTGACATGGGGAGGGGTTGGGGAGGACTATCCAGCAACTCTTCTCTATCACCACCACCACCACCATCATCAGTGTTGCTCTCTCTAGTGCTTATTCTCATCAACATAGAAACAGGCTGCAATTTCGACCATCTGAAAAAAAGAAAAACAAAGCTCTTGACCTATCATTATCTCCTCCATGTAGAGCGAAACTTCCAGTAAAGGAAACCATACTGGAAACCATACTGTTTCTTTTCCTCTCCTTCTCCTGTCTCTTGTCCCAGTCCTTCTCCCATTCTCTCTTGTTTTAAAAAATCTTCAGTAACTTCAGTTTGTAATGTTATTTTTTTTTAAGATTTATTTATTTATTTATACAGCACTGGGTACAGTCAGAAGCGCGGGAGGGTGAGAGAATTCACCAGAGCCAGAGCGGGGAGCAGAGCAGGGGAGCAGCGGGCGGCAGGAGAGGTCTGCGCGCCATGTGGGACCCTCCTCCGGTGGCCGGGGAGCAGCCGGGCGCTGCAGAGGCTGCAGGCAGCTTTGCAACCCAGCGCTCAACCGCTGCGCCACCGGGGAGGCCCCAGTTTGTAATGTTAGACAGGTCTCAGGTATACAGCGTTATAATTCAATGTCTATATACAGCCCATTATGAGTCTCGCCAAATGCTTAGTTTCTGTCCACCATACAATTTATGGTGGACAGTTCTAGTGCCAGTCTGGTAACCACAACTTGGTCTTCTAATTGAAGAGTTTGCTTTTGCTTGGCTCTATTTCTTTTCCTTGCACATATGAGAGAAATCATACTGTAGTTATCATTCACCTTCTGACTTACGTCACTTACCGTCATACCTTCTAGATTCATCCATGTTGCCAGTAGCGAGATTTCATTTTTGATGGCTTCGTAGTATGCACGGTGCATGTACACATCTTCTTTATCCTTCATTTGTCAACTGACCTTTACGTGGTTTCCACATCTTGGCTCTTGTCAATGGTGCTGCAATGAACATGGGGGTGCAGATCTCTTTTATTTTTATTTTTTAAAGGCTAACAAAAGGTTTATTTACAAGGGAAGGGGAATGAGGAAATGTACAACTCAGAGAAAAGAGGGAGATAAATTCTTTAATGTGTGCAGATCTCTTTTAGGATTAGTGTTTTCATGTTCTTTAGATAAATACACAGATCACTGGATTGTGTGGTATTCTATGCTTAAATTTTTGTTTTTTTGTTTTTCAAAGATTTATTTATTTATACAAGAACCGGGGTATAGGCCAGATGCGCGGGAGGGTGAGAGGCTTCACCACAGACAGAGTGGGGAACGGAACAGGCAGACTGACTGAAATACACTGCTGAGGGGAGCAGCGGGCGAGACAAGAGAAGCCTGCTCGCCATGTGGGTTGCTCCAAGGCTGGCGGGGATTGAACCGGCACTGCAGAGGCTGCGGACAGCTTCACAGTGCGGCGCTCAACCACCTGCACCACCAGGGAGGCCCTGCGCTTACATTTTTGAGGTGCCTTCGGACTCTTTTCAATAGCGACTGCACCAGTCTACACTCCCACCAACAGGGTACATGGGTTGCTGCTTCTTCACATCCTCACCATGATGTTCATCATCAATGTGATAACGGTCATTCTCACAAGTGTGAGGTTTTCGTTGTGGTTTTGATGTGCATTTCCCTAATACTGATTGATGATGAGTATCTTTTCATGTGCTCGCTGGCCAGCTGTGTGTCCTTCCCCACCCCCCACTCCCCCAGAAACATCTATTCAGATCCTTGGCCCATTTTTTTAATCGGGTTGTTTGGCTTTTGTTGTTGAGAAGATATTCACAAATCATACATTTCACAAGAAGTTAATAACCCATTGTCTCCTTTTTTTTTCCCATTGTCTCTTAACCCTCTTTAAAAAGCTCTCGCCAAGGTCGTCAGTGGCCTCCGTGCTGCTAAATCTAATGGTTATTTCTCAATCCTCACCTTGCTGGACCCTTAGCAGCATTTGATACAACCGCTCACTCCTTCCCTTCAGAAGGATATTCTTCAATTGGCATCTAGGACACCAGCCTTCTGGTTTCCCTGCCCCGCTGCTCATGCTGGGGGACCCTAGTGCCACCACCCCTTTCTTGGCTCACTCCCTAGGGGACTCAGAATGTCTCCAGCCTTAATGATGATGATCCCAAAATTTACATCTCCACCCTGGAATTCTAGTATCCCCATTTGGAAGTCTAATAGGCACCCCAAACTTAACCTCTATAAAACTGAGTCCTTACTCTTTCTCTGAAACCCTGCTGCTTCCACAGCCTTCCCTGTGTGTATATGGGAACATCCTCAACGCCTTCGCTCTCCTCACACCCCACAGCTGGCCCAGCACCAAGTCCAGCTGACTCCACTTTCTATCTAGAATCTGACCACTTCTCTCCACCTTCACGGCTACTCCCTGGTCCATGTCACCATCACCTCCCACCTGGATTCTTGCTGTGGCCTCCTAGTAGCGTGGCCCCTCCTGCCTGCCAGTCTGTGTGCAGCAGCCGGAGTGATCCTGTTAAATATAAATGAGGGTAGAGCACCCCTTGGTCAAATCATGGCTTGGCCTTCAGCCATCATTCCCATAGGCCCTTGCTGACCTCACCTCCTCTCATCCCCCATCACTCGCTCAGCGGCCCCGCAGGCCTCCTTGCTGCTCCTGAGCTCAGCCAGCTCCCTCCCAGCCCGACCTTGGTGCCTGGGGATCCCCTGGCCCTCGCTCTCTCAACTCTCTGCTCCCCTCCCCTGCTTTATTTTTCTCCACAGCTCTTCTCATCTTCTGGCACACTATATATTTTTCTGGTGTGTTTATTGCTTCTCTCCCTCCAGCAGAATTAAGGAGGCAGGGATTTTGTCTGGCTTGTTCAAACTGCATCCCCTGCACTAGAACAGTGCCTGGCACACACAACCCCCCCCCCCCGCCCCGCTCAGGTGTTTGCAGAGTAAGTGGACACCTGAGAGGCAGGCCAGGCCTCGCTGAGGTACTGTCAGAACAAGGCAAACAAAGCTCGGCTGGCTGCACAGTTGACTTATGAGCTGCTGCCTCAGTCCCCTGTGAGTCATGGGGAGGAGGAACCATGAGCCTAAATACCTGTTAATGTCTCATTAGCAACGAACACAAGGTCTTGGTTGGCCTCAAGCTGCAGGTTGTGTAAACAAAGGTCCGGAGCACATGGTGTCCACCCCCCAACCACTGCCCTGTTCCACCTGGGCTACAGGAGGAAGATGTGCAGCTATCCCCTGGGCCCTCTGGGGCAGGGGAGCATTGAAGAGGGGCACAGAATTCAGTCCCCTCTGTCCTCTCAGTCTCAGGTGGACAGAGGGGAAGGTCTCTGGGTCTTTCCATTAACCCCAACTCAGAATTTCCTTGCCCTCACTCTGACCCTGTTGCAGCATCAGTTCCATTCCGTGGGAACGGTGGGTCCCCCAACCCACCCCAGAATCAGTGCCCAGCACCCCTACCCACATGCCCATCCTGGGATCTCCTGTCCCGACCCTGGGGAATTCTAGGGCCCTCCCACTGGATGGAACTACAGGCTGCACTCAGGGCATCCCGCCCGCTGTGGCCCCAAGGAGGGCATGAGAGGGAGGAGTGGAGTCAGCTGAGGTCCCAGAGCCACAACAGCCACACTTCAGGCCTCCAAGCCCAGGCCTTTCAAGGGCTGTGAGGACCAAATAGTTTTCTCTCCCAGAGGCCTCAGTCCTTCCCAGAAGGACTCCCTATCTTTGTGGGCAGGGCCCATCAAGCAGGGCTCAGCTGAGACTGGGGTTGGGGAACAAAGACTTTTTAGGCCTGTGGTCCAGCCTTGAGGAACAGGCCCCTCCTAGGCCTCACCCCAACTGGACTTGGTGATTCTCAAGAGGCCTTTGTGATTCCCGCCTCACCCTACCCTGTTCCCCAGCTACTGGGCACCAGACCCAAATGCCAACAGAAGTGAGTAAGTCGGGGTGTAGCCCCATCTTCTTCTCCCCTCAAGTGCCTGGTCCTTAGGTGCTTTTTTATCAAAGCTCATGAAAAGTCAGGCAGGGAGCATGAGGCTGGATGGGGCTGGGGTGAGAGCAAAGGTGGGGGCTAGGACAGAGCAAGAGGGGTGGGGCAGGAAGCAAGAACAGGAGGAGGTGGAGGGCCTGGCTAGCTGGTCCCATCACGTCCGCCTTTGAGCAGTTTGTTCTGCCAGAGTGGAGCCGCCTCTGGGAACGCTGATGTCTCCCCACCCCACAACCCCATCTGAATCAGGAACCCAGAGACATGGGGACGAACCGAGGCCTTTAACTGCAGGACTTTAGAAATTAGGAGATGGGCCCAGTGGCAGCAGCTCTCTCCTCTCCCTGCCTAGCCTGGCAGTTAGAGGACCCCAGGAAACAGCACGGTCTGCACCTGAAGGCAGATTAGTGACAGGCCGTGAGAATAGGTCAGAGGTTCGGAGACCAGTTCGGAAGCCACTGCCGCGTCTGGAGTCAGGGGCAGCGCGGCAGGGAGAATCTGCGCCGACAGTGCTGGATGCTGTCCTACCCTGAAACTTGAGTAGGAAAATGCGTCGTTTGTGGAGGTGCTAGGCATGTAGCCACGGCAGAGCGGGGATGCTCATCTGGCCGCGGTTCCTGGAAGGAAAGGAGGACCAAGATTTAGCTTGTGGAGCTGGAAGGGACTTGCTTGACCTGAGGCCCAGAGAGAGCACAGATAACACAAACCACCACATACCCCACATATATACACACCACACACACGTACACC